GCGGGGGGGGGGGCAGTGATTCCAATATTAGTCACAAGACACGAGGGCGTAATGAAACAACTATGAAAGTGACAGGGGGGCAGTAGCGATAATAATATAAATCTTTAAAGAGAGAAACTTCGTGCTAATTGCGAACGTACCTTCGCCGTTTCTGTACTCCAGAGTATCGCAGTCGCTTGGCTGTTTCTTGTTGCACTCGTCCGAGGCCCTGCTGCAACGAAATCGCAAGGCATAGCAGTCAAATTGAGCAAAATAGCTGAGCGAAAAAAGTTCTTCTCACGCCTTTGCGAAGAAAGTTCGATAATTCGCGAATTATCGTTCGCAATCTTTTTTTTTTTTCATTTATGAGGCAAAAATGTTTTGAATATATTAATTGATAGTGAAAGTGATTCAATTACCTTCTAAGGATCAGAACGGTCATAATGATGATAATCACGAGAAGCACGACCACAGCGACGATCGCCCCTGCGATTATCCTAACCTGCATGTTGTCCTCCTCGCCGATGTAATCTGCGTAAAAACGCGCTCGTATTAGAGACGCGGTGCGAAAGGGGGATTGCGAAATGTGAGATCTGGATGCCGCGCGCTTACCTGGGCCTATCGCGTGGGGTGTCTTCTTAAATACCACCGGCGTGTACTCGCCCCAGCCGCGGGTGGTCTTGGCGCGAACCTGTATCGCGTAATCCGTGGAAGATTTGAGACCTTTGAACGTGGCGGACAGCTCGGACGTTTGAATGACGGTTGCATTAGTGGCGTCGTCGTAGCGCGGGTAACACCTCACTGTGTATCAGATATCGAGACGATTATTAATCCCGCCGCCATCGCCGCTTGTTCGATCGCGCGCGCGCGCGATCGAATGATCGATCCGGATGCGAATTGATCTCGATGCGCAACGTTACGGTGGTATTACGACTTTACTACCTTCGTATCTCTCGACGAGATCGCTGTCGCCGCTGACACCGACTTCGGTCACCGGCGCGTCCCAGCTGATGCTCAACTCCGAACTCTTGACGCTCGTGATTCGCACGTTGCTCACCAGGCTCGGTACGGAAGCCTCCGTCGTAACGGTGATGTCCACGTATTCCGCTTTGCCGGACAACGGCGTCACGCCGTTCTCGGCGAACACTTGGAAGCGATATGTCGTCACCGCGTTCAGGCCGGTTATCGTGATCTTCGTGTCGTTGAAGATGTCCTGTCGCAAAATCGAAGCAATTTCGCGTAAAATTTCTTTCAATTCAAAAACTATCGCGCGTAATCCGCACTTGTATATATGTATACGGCTTTGTGGGGAAACTCACGGGATTACTGGGAATGTATTTGACGCCCACGCTGCACGCGTCGCAGGCTACTCTGTAAGTCGTGTCGGTTCTGTCACCCTGCATATGCGGCGCGTTCCAGGAAAGGATCACCGTGGACTGATCGACAAAGTTGACGGTCAGGTTTTGCGGCGCCGAAGGTGGTTCTGCAAGAAATGTGTTCTTGAAGATTCTTGCCGTCCCCCCAAATTCCTACCATCTCTCGCGTACGCGTGACTTTTAATTTCAAGCGGCCCATCGCGTCCATTGCACCGAATAGTTAGAAACATAATTATAAATTACAAAATTGAACATTTTAAGACGTCTAAAAAATTTTGATTTTTCGAACATGTTAAAATTGTTGTTTTTTTCCCTAAATATGGAAAGAATGGCAGAAATGTTTTATAGAAATAACGTTTGCTTTGCATTAATTTTAATACTCACTCGTGCAAGGCATGTTCTTCGGATCCTTCCCCGCTCGATAATAACCCGCGTCGCAACGACACTCCGTGAAACCGTAATCGGATGCTTTACTGTGCTCCGGACACGGTTCGCATGGTTCCGCGCCCGCCACGTGTTTGAACTTGCCTATTGGGCACTCTTTGCACTCTTGCTTGTCTACATCAGCCTGAAAACCGGGTTTGCAGTGGCATCCACCCGAATGTAGGTACCACTTGCCGTCTCCCTTGCAGAGGGAAGTCGGTTCTTGAATTTTTACGGCGTTCGGGACGCAAGTGCCGACGGTTTGTTCGATAACCGTGACCTCTTTGCCGGTCGGCGTGGCCGGGTAGCGCGAGAAATTCACCGCGATCTCGGGACAGCTGATATAGTACACCTTGATAGCTAGGATCGATATGCAGGCGCCCTGATCGCGAAAAGCGAAGTAGACGCCCTTCTTCGTCACCGGGATCGACTTTATCTCCGTGTTTATCGTTACCTCGGAATTCATATTGAACCTGCCCTCGCCCGGAGCTATGCGACCTGCGGATGTACCAAATCGGTATGAAAAGTCACTCTAGATATCGCGAACATTGTTCATTTCATTAAAGAAAGGAACGAATCAAGAGGGAAGAAGGGGAGAAAAAATAAAATGTCAATTATAAAATTTTTTTAAAGACTTATTTTTGAATATGTTTTTTTCAGGAAACAATAGAAGCATTTAAAGTTGTTATTTTCGAAATATTATCAGTGTCCTCCCTTTGTGAGGTGAATTCTTCGATTGCCATGCCTTTATTATTACATCATCACTCACCGATAAGTTTGTAACTGTCTGGCTCCCACGGGGGCGGCTCCTTGGTGGCAGCGTCGAACTCATAGTAGAGCAAACTGAACGTCTCTTTACAGCTGAGAGCGTTGCCGGGGAACAGCGAGCAGTCGCGGGTCGTGAATTTGATTTCTATGTACATGCGATTCGCCGGGCCGCGCTCCACGAACGGCGTCCACAGCCAATTGTTCACGTTGTTGTACGCTACGTCGCATACTACGTAACTCCGCCAATTGATTCCCTTGTCGAAGTTCGTGAAAGATTCCTCCACCCACTGTAACAGGAATAAAGAAAAGAGACAAACATTAATCCCTATTTCAGTATCCTTTTTCTCTTAATTCTACATTAAGAATCTCGACGGAAAACCCAATGTAGGTTAAAAAGGACCTTTTTTCGAACATATTTAGAAAGCAACCATGTCCTCCGTGTCAAAAGAAGGTCTTTGACAATGAAAGGAAAAGAATCTGCGATTCTAACCCAATTTTCTCGGTGTTACCACCAACCGCGACGAAAGCGAGAAAGTACGACCCGCCGTTGTCTTTGTCGTCGTCGTCGTCGTCGTCGTCGTCGTCGTCGTCGTCGTCGTCGTCGGCCGACATCGGGCAATAGAATCCCACCCTCGACGGTAAATGACGAGGCGGAGAGGCCAGGTCGTCGACTTGCGACAAACAGACCGCAAGGAATTACCGGCGCGCGTTACCATTAGTTTTATTGCCCCCTCGGCTCTCGGGCTCGTCCCGAGAGCGACCGCAAAAAGTTCCGACCGGGGCAAGAAGGATTCATCGTCGTCG